GGTGTGGTGGTCTGCACGCTGTGTGCATATTCCAGAGGTCTGCGGTTCGATTCCTGGTGACGGTGTTTGCTCATTTTTCAAGTCTCTTGCTTTCAAACAATCCTAACGTCTCTTCAGTGGCATCCGAACTAAAAGGGTTGTGGATGATGATTCCGACACCCAGGATTTGGCGGTTGGATCCCCTAAAAAACCCCAGTCACCCTTTAAAAGGGAAAGTATATAAGGTATTTCTTCCGCCTTCTTGGTGTGGTGGTCTGCACGTTGGGCGCATATTCCAGAAGTCCGCAGTTCGATTCCCGGTGAAGGCGTTGCTAATTTTTCATTTTTCCTGCTTTTCAAAAAAATCCTAATGTCTCTACAGGGTAAAGCACTATGTTTGAGTTTTTTCTCCCCTCTTAAGTATAAGGGAAGAAATAATACATCACTTGTATGCTTATTGTCCCAATGTCCTATTTAGAGGCCAGTTAAAAAATAGTACTTTAAAACTTACCTAATAACAATAAAGTTATAATTAACTGCCAGGATGATAGCGAAAAAGTACTATCACATAAAAATCGTCCGGCCAAGCATCCTAAGTACACTGAAAAATAATCCTACGACTGCAGAGAGAAAATACAAACCGTGCCCTGTAATGCAAGGAATAAACAAAGTTTCCAGTTGGAGGAGGAGCGAGTGACACGTAACTTGCAGAAGCTTATACATACCCTCACAAAATATTCGTGCCAGACAAGTATTGATTTCCACATTCTATTTTTCAGTTGTTCTTTAAATAGGGCAATTGGATAAAATGAGTTTATATGATTTCTAAAGATTGAAAAATAGTTTTCTTTAATGGGGAAGAAGAACATTAGATATGGAGCTAGAAGGAGAAATGGGAGATAAGATTATTCTGGTAAATTTTAAAGTGAGAATATTCTTTGTGTTAGTAAAATTTGGGGTTGGGGGAAGCTTTTAATAATTCAGGAGATTTTTTTTTCTTTTTGAATAGTTTGCAAGTTTTAAGCTTGAATTCCACTTTTCTTTTAATTTTTTTATTTTTATGAATTATTTAACATATTATTTCTCTTCATCTTATTTACAATGTTATCACAAAGTTAACTTTTTCGTACATCACACATTAATCATAAGTCATTTCTCAAACTTCCCAAATGCCTGCTTAAATGCAAATGAAAAAAGTGTCATTCCTAATTTTATTTATGTTATATGTAATTTAAATATGCTGTTTGTATGTCTAAAGTTCATATTGTCACTTCCTCATAATGTTTTTTAGAACAAACACAGTAGTTTTTCAAGGACTGAATGTAAATTGTAGCATCTTCATTTGAAAGTTAGTAATCCTGGCTTAATTTACTTCCACTGAACATAACATTTTGATTTATAATCCCTATTGTTTGTCAATGCCATTAAAGAAAGTTCTGCACTGGGATATGAAATATTAAAATTACATTTCGCAGTCATCTAGAACCTGTCCTTCTAACAGTATTCCGGCAGTAAATGTTAATCTTGTGTTTAATATTTCTGATAATTTTTTCTCACGAGTTCAGAAGAATGTGCTCAAATGTAATCTGAGTTTTTCAATTTCACACACCTTTTCTTCTTAAAATTATTGCTACTGTTAGAAAAAGCATTAAATTTAAAAAGTATAGAAAGATACATTTTATATAATCACTCTTAATTTTAATTTCAATTTATTAATTTTTTCATATGTAACCCTAATCAAAGAGAAGACATTGCATGAAATTTACTGTAATACAGGTATCAATATCTTCAAAACTCATTATAGTGACAAAATCACCATTATGAACAGTAAATTTGAACAGTTGGAATCGTGATGACCATAACCATCTGCAGACCAAATTTTTATAGCAATCAAAAACATTCTAATCTGTGTTCATATACAGCTCTCATCTAGTAAATGGGCCATCAGTGGCCAAGTGGTATAGTCACTTAACACAAGTAGTCCGTTCCTTGGTTTAAATCCTGGGCTGGCTGCATGGGCATTTTCGTGAATTTGTCCATGTGTAATGTTCGTACGAGACAATTTCTCTGAGAAAGTCCTCTGCAAAGGCATCCCTATCCTTAGACAGATAGCCCTTAAGCACTTTGCTGTAATTAAAGAACGCAACCAAAATAAACCTTCTAGTGAACAAAAATGTGCTGAGCAAAGCAGTGTGGCATGACAGATCTGATGCCATTACCTGAAGGTCACAGTGAGTCTTAAAGCTGCAGTATAAGAAAGCAAATAAAAAGTGAAAAAATTAATGCTTATGTGAAAGTTATGCTTTATCATGTAGGGTTTAATGAAGGTATTACTACTTTTTTCCATAAAGCTATTTCAGTATCTGATTTCTGTAAAGTTAAAAACCCTGTAAAATCATCCATATTCATTTGCCTCAATTAAAAAATATTATTTAATTTCACTTGTTACTAAAATTTACTAGACTTAATATAGTTCTGTTAGTTTCTGTCCCGTAGTTTGCAAAATGGTTATTTTAACTGTGCTTGATTTTATGCCTTTCAGAACTAGCATTCCATTTTACCCCATTGTTTGCAGCTTAGAAGTTACTTCATACCCTTTCAGCTAATTATAGTTTTTTTAATTACTTTCTAAAATTAATTTTAAAAACTCAATTGTATTTGACAGTAAACTTTCCTAAGAACTCAGTTTTAGTTTTCATGACCCAGAGTTTAACCCTTTTTTCCTTTGGTTGTAAATCGCTTTTGTTCCAGTTGAAAGTGGATTTGAATTACTTTAATTTAAGGAGAATACATTAGGGGTATCTTCCTGATATCCAATTAAATTTTGACTGAGAGTACTCTGAGGCATCAAATTTAGTTATCCCCCTTTTCCTACCTTTAGAGAAGGCATTCAACCAGTACTTGCCACCAGTCCACCAGTACTTGCAAAAGCACGTTGTAAGCAAAAATAAATGCTTTATTCAGAGTTTGAAATTGGGCGCAAACAGTATAAGAATCGGTCAATGGCTGATAATCATCATATAATTCAGGATGCCTCCATTTAAACGAGTGCTACAATGTAATAAACCAGGAATTAAAAAAGTTCTGTTTCTTCCATACTGAAATCAAGTAATTAATCTCTCATAGAAAGTAATAATTTCTCAGAATATGACCATTTAATTTTTTAAAACCTGTTACTATTACATGATTGGAAGGTGAGTGAATTATTTGCAAATTATTTTTTACATTTTGTATTTGTTATGCTGACAACATCTTTTGACCTTCTTTTAATGGTAAAATATGTGATATAACTAATATTTTATCTATTATGAAATTATGTTGATCCTGCCTTTCAGTTCACACTAGAAACTGAATCTCTTCCTTTTATCGATATCCTTGTTTCACCACTAAATTTAATTTCAGCATTGCTATTTATTAAAAGCATTTCTTAGGTTACTCTCTGCAGTATATGGAATTCACTCACCATACTAATAGATATTATCTGACCTCCTGACCTTTACTTTTAAATATTTTTTCTCTTAAGATTTGTTTCCCTTAATAATTTCTGAACTGTTTTTATCTGATGTTTTTTTAAAAATTAGATAAAAACATGTGATTGTAACATTCCGTTGCTGAAGATCTGAACAAAAAAAACTTGCTGCTATTCATTTTTCGGATTTATTAAATATGATATTGCTGATATTATCTATAAATTCAAAAACTATTTCAGATAGATATAGTATCACTGAAATTATCCACAAATTCTAAAGACAGTACTTTAGATTTTATCTCTAAGAGCTATAACATTCCTTGTCAGTGTAGTGTGGTCTAACATACGTCAGCCAGACTAGTGAAATTTTAAAATTTCTCATAAAAAAACATGAAACCTATGGTATAGAAGCAAAAATAAATAAATCTTCAGAAGGTAATTTTATTTGGCCCTTAACCCAAATTCTTAACTTTAGTTCCATTGAAATTATTCCAAAACCCAATTAGAGATGTGTATCTGTTAAGCCTGTTACACTCACTACTAACTTTAGTTAATTATTTTACGTTTAAGTCAGTTTTCTCTTACATGTTTCAAAACCATACAGTATAATATTTTGATCCATTCGTTCTTGTCTAATAGATGTCCATAAATTTGTTGGCTGTTTTATTACTTATGTTGTTTTATTTGTTTAACTTGTGTGTGTCTGGCAACCGGAGCAGAAAATTTTGACTGTCTAGAAATCTATTTCTGTCTTTCTCAAAATGAAGAGCTTTTTTGGTAAACTTAATATCCTTTTATCATCATATCTTGTGTAATTTTAAATTTCATAAGTAATCAGTAAATTTTTAATGAATGACAGTTTTAACTTATTCTTTTGTATTTCTACTTTCCATGCATAACTGTATGTGGTTTGGAATAGAGGAAGAATAAATAGCAGTTTCATGCTTCTTCATCTGCAAATATTTATATTCATGATATAAAATGAATATATAAAATCATGTTGAATATATAAAATCATACCCATTGAAGCCAATACATTGAACCACTTTTTTTTTATTCTGTAGGTGTGATTACCTCAAAGGTTTTTTTAGAGATAATGAGATTTCAATAACTTATTTGTCCTGCTTGGAGGACATTTAGCTTTAGCTTTGTATTGCAAAATATCAAATTATCCCTGATTATATTAGCTTTTTCTTGCAAAATATCAAACTATCCCTGATTTTTAACAAGCTGTGTTAAATAATATACTGTAATACGTTGTGCAATTATAAGTATCAAAAGTTAAGTAAATTTTTTATGTTTTATTGAAATTTACTGAGCATCATAGCTATTCATTAAAGCAGTTTAATACACTACATACTGAAGTGGGTGAGTGTTGAGCTGTTCTTCTAGGTGTACAAGAGCAAAAGTAACTGCATCTAAATATATAAATTTTCAGAAGTAATATGAATATTTTTCATACACAACCTGCTTGTAATTTTAATATGGTTTTGCATTCTATTTCAGATACTAGTATACTAGCGTGTTACTGAATTGATATTTATTATTTTAGATATCTATGGATTTTCAAAGCAGCGAAAAATTCTGCCATCTTTTAAAGTGCACCTTAGATGTTATGTCTCAAATTTTAGAAGTATCTGAGTCACATGAAATGGGGAAAAGTGCAGAAGAAATACTTTGTTACTTGAAATCGTTAATGGTAATAGAATCTTGCTCATCTGTTCAGTGTGTAAGGCAGGTGAGTTTCTGTTTTCTTACTTTGAATTGTTATTATTTATATGTCATTTACAAATTATTTAAAAGGTCATAAACACTTAAAGAAAGGCTTAGAATTTTTGTGGAAATTTAAATGAACAAGTCTTTTTCTGTTATGTACTATTATGTCACATCAGTATTCTTTACATGTCAAACATAAGGATCATATTGTATTTGTAGACTGATTTTTGTTATTTAATATAATCAAATCTTTTGTTAGTTTATTAAGAAATATGTTATTTACAACATCTTATAAAATAACTTAAAACTGTGAGAATGAGAGAGATTTAAAAACCTGTATAAAATAATGCTGATATTTATAAAAAAAATTTAGTTTTATATTAATGAGTTGCATGTTTGATTGTTTCATAATTCTTGTTTAATGTCTCCTAATTCTTAGTGGAATGTTTTGCATAATTATAAGACTTATTGCTGTGTATCTGAATATTTTCAATCTATCCTTACTTAACATTCACTTCCACGAACATCTGCATGTGTAAGTCACACTTGTGTTTGTTAAGTTGTACTGTATCCAGAAGCTTTTGTAATCTACAGGTCCTGACTGTGTCCTGTATATTCTGCTAGACTGGAAAAAAGTTATTACTTAGTCAGAATCAAACCACAAAATCTGAAGAAGGTTAAAATTAGTACCTTTTTGTTTAAATCTTAAATAAACAGAAAAGCACAGCTAGTGCAACAGATGAACTTTTGCTACTTATGCAAATAGAAAGTTAAATTCAAATGTATTTAACTTAGTATGAGACTGCACACTTAACAGATAACTTAAACTGGCTCAAGATATTTAATGGCATGCATTTTAAATGTTGGCTAGGAAAATGCTAAAGCAGGAATAAAACATAGACAGAGATGGCAATATTAAATAGCAGCAAGTTGTGGCTGCCAGAAGCTGTCAGCTTAAATACACAAAACAACTAATTTGCATCCTGGTGAGGAGTATGAAAAGAAAAAGGTATGGAAAAGTTCAATCATAGTTGGTTAATTAGTATGAAACCTTACAGTTTCCCCCACAAGAATTTAAATAATTCAAAAACGAAGATCTTAATGGCATTGGGTGAAGTGTTAAAATGTACCATCTAAAAGCATGAGCAAACTCTTAAAAATCTTATTTAAATTCATATTCTACTAATGTCATTTTAAACTCCATTATTGACTCCATTTGATCTCCATTATTGACATTTGCCTCATCTGACACATACCCAGGATACACATGAGGAAAACCATGGAAATGCTTCTGCAGCCAGCCCATTTGTTGAAACTCAAACTTCGGGCTGAACAACCACGGTTTAGTGGTTTTTGCCACTTGGCTGCTGGTGGGCTAACCTTTCACATTCAAAATCACTTGCTGTAGGCATTCATAATGTTTTTCTGGCACTGTATTGACCTTTTATCTTGCAATGGAATTCATGCATTGGTACTGCATTGGCTCGAATGGTCTATATTTTCTAAAATGTTTCAACCAAAATGTTTTTTGTGCTCATGACCAATAATGTGGCTGAAGGAATTTTATTCAAAAGGCTTTGGATATTCAGGAGAGATAAGTTTTTTTTTTATTAATACCACATTTAATTGGATGTGAAAGGCTTTTTCTTTCATCTGGCATGTTTGACATCTCTGACTTACACCATCCCTACCTAATTTAAAGATTTCTGCTTGTCATCACTCACTTTCCTTTTTTGAGATTTATCTCAATGATTGCTGTTAGCAGAAAAAATATTTTGCCAAGTACCAACATGTCTCCTTCTGTCAAATTTGCTACTTCTTATGAGTACGGGCTTCTGTATTTCCACGTACACATATTTACTGAGACAATTTTTAAATTTCACTGCAAACTCTGAAACCTGTTCTAGCATACAAGGTTTCTTAATCCCAGAAAATTTTCGATATGCGGCTACAATCTAGGTAATATTAAATCAATAACTTTCGCACAGGATTTTCTTTCCCATATAACAACTTCATTTGTACTTTTGTTAGAACAAAATCATATAACTCATCTGCCTTAGTCCGGTATTTACCATAAAGTTCAAATTCTAACTTAGTCTCCATCTTTAACCACTAGGGATACTCTCAAATATGCAGTTTTAAGTATTTATAATTAGTTGCCTTGAACTAAAAAGCATCATCTTTGTATAATAAACTTTATTGATATTCTAAAACATGAAATATTTAAGATAAAAATTGCCTGCAGCGCAGTACGGCTAACAACGCTATTCTACTGAAACATAAACATGAACAACTGTTGCCATTCGCACAAACTTAATGGTAAAATAAAGCATATTGCCAGTAACAAGATTATTTTAAAATCATAACATAAAATTAAGCAGTGAGAAAATAAATAAAGAAAAAAAGAAATGCAAATATTAAATATACATCCAACAATAAGTCTCACGCCCTGGTTCACCTAGTTAATATTTTTTAATATCTTTAACCCCTTCGAGCCGGGTAGCGCAAACGCGTGCTTATCGCGGAGGCCGGCAGTGTCTTACGTGAGCGTTTGTCCAGGGCCGGGGGCTTTTTTGCTACTAAGCCTAAATCCGTGAAATTTCTGAAGTATGAACGCATTGTTTAATAATGCTCTATAGAGTATTTAAATGGCTTATGCTTTATAGATATTTTTATACTATATACTTTAATTACCTTATTTCTTGTTTAAATGCATATTTTACACATTTTATTTTCATTACTCACCATTTTATGACTTTTAACATTATACATCTGAAAAGTAAATATATTACTTAAAATTCTCTTTTCATATGAAAAATTTGAAAACAGGGATCTACACACAGTCCTACGTTACATTCCTTGCACTCATAATAACTCATTTGCCGTTTTGGAGGATTTTTCCAGGAATGTGAACAAACGAAGCATCGTCGTCTCATTTTCTTATCAGTCTCTTCTGAACAAAGTTTTGGAAAATGTCTTTCAGTTAATCTTTCAGAATCAATATCAGAATATCTGAATTTCAGAATCAATATCTGAAATATTTTGCGTCATTTCTGCTATTTCATGCTCTGTTAAACCTTTTCGACGCTTCGACATTGCAACAGTAAAAACAGAAAGAATTCACGTCTAACAAGATCTAATTATTTTCTAAAAACTGAACTGCAAACCGAAATACCCAACGCTTTAGCGCAAATAAAACTTCTCTACTTAAATAAACACAACTACCACGTGCAAATAAAGTGCGATTTAAAGAGACGTCATAAAACACGCCATTCGGAAACATTTATTTCCCCTTTTGTTTATATAATCAAAAAGAGATGTATGTGAGTCATGCTTCTCTCATTTCAAGTAGAAGGTCTAATGTACATGTATCTGAAACCATACGGACATACAGTGCCATCTTGTGGCAGAAATTATAGTTTTTACAGCATTCCAGGACACTGGCACAAATATGTGACAGTCGGTGAACGGGAAAATGCTCTGGCATGCCTGCGTGTCAGCCGGGAGGTGAGTGTGTTCGTTGCTGGCACATAGACGTGACAGTCGGCGCGAAGGGGTTAAACAAGTCCAATGTTTGTCCTTGCAGCACAGTGTTTCTATAGCTTATTTTTTTGTATTTCTCTTGCAGGATATAGTAAAAAGTGTGTTTCTAAACTTTCTAAAAATGTTGGAACCGAAATTTTAACACCAGAACTTCCAGATGGTTTCATTGATGCCTGCATAATGTCCACAATGAAGCTAATTCTTTCCACCAGAGTTATTGGTGCCAAATGAACTTGGAGTCTTGGGGGGTGGGGCAGGTTAATATTGGTGTTGCCTTGTGACATGGTTTGTGATATAGTTAGGTGCCAAATTTAGGGTTCTGCTGTATCTACAACCATTTGTTAATGTTCTGCAGACCCTGTTAAACTGAAAGCAAGTTATTACTTAGTCTGAAATATCCACAAGAAATTTAAAGTAACCTTTTTGTTTAAGTGTTAAATTAACAGAAAGCCACCAGTTGTGCAGTAGATGAATCTCTGCTACTCATGGGTATTTAAATTAACAAAACAATAAGTTAAATTCAGATATAGTTTGAGTCTATGCACTTAATAGGCTATTTAAGCTGAGTGAAGATATTTAATGCATTTTCAATTTGGGCTCGTAAGACGCTAAAGCTGGAATATAACTTAGGTGGAACTGATGATATTAACTCCCAGCTGAAACACACAAAATGACAGATTTGCATTCTGATGAGGTTTGCTGAAAGAAGTTATAGTAGAGGTTTAAATCTTGACTTGTTAATTAACTTTGAACCGTATGCGTTTGTTCTCTTTGAATATGTTATGTAGCTAAAAACTTTGTATTGTGTATGTTTGTGTCATATTTGCAACATAATAGTTTTGATATTAGAAGCATCTCTACCTTCTCTGTGCTTTTCTGTGTCTATTAGATTATGTTACATTACTAATGTATTGAAGTGGAAATTTGTCATCCTTAGGGCTGACAAATGTTTCAGAGGTATTGCCACTTGCATTCTGTAATCTTTCAAATTAAAATAATACATAGTTTGATGACTTAAAACCAGACTATTTACTTTTTCATTATTTGCATCTTTATTTTATTTTTACATGATATGTCTAACTGTGCAGTTTATAATACATGTAATTCGTGTGATTTGCTATAATACATCTGCCAACCTTTATAAATATTTTTATCATTAATGTCAATCATATCATGACAAATAATGATTATTTTTCATTCCTTTGTTTTCTTAGTTACTGAAAAGTTTGTTTGGTACTAATTTGATAGCATTGTGCCAGGAGGCACTGTTGGTTCCTGGAATGTGTAGCAAGGGCAATGGTTCAAGCCGACTTTCTTCAACAGTTCCAGGACTGTATCATACAGTAATATCATACCCTTATACTGATTTCACACATGTATTAAAAAATAAAACGATAAAATGTCTCTCATCGGAGGGAAATGACGAACTAGTCAGGTAATTTGTTGCCCTATTATAACTGTTACATATGTATGTATAATTTAAACAAATAATTTTTAAAGAAATAATGTATACAATTTTAAATCATAGTTTATGTCATTCTTTTTATATGCTTATTTAATCAATTTCAAGAAATTTAGTATGTATTAAAACTACATCATTTCCTTTTTTTAGAAGTGTGTGATGCAAATTATTCATAATTAAAATATGAAAAAAGTGTGTTTTTTGTTATAATCACAAATTATTTACATAAAAAGGGTAGTAGTTTCTAAAAGTGAAGGATGGCATTTTATTAAAAGATATTCTCTTATATTTTGAAGACTGGAAGAAGTTTCAGAAAGTAATACGTATATTAACGCCTAACTTTTCTGAACTTGTCACTATTTAATCACCATTTTATTTTCCTTTCCTTTTTCATGTTACTCTAGAAAATATTCTCTATTTCAACATTTTATGACCTTTTGTATGCCTTAACTAAGGTTTAATAAAATTGTGTTAGTTGATGTGAATGTGTACCTAATAATATTTTAAATTATTGTTAGAAATCTATACATTTTTATATTTTCTAAATCTAAGCACTCTAAACTGCTAATAAATTTTTGTGAGGATTATTAAACAATCATAATAATGCATATGCAATATGTGTTACTTAAATTAATACACAAAAACTCATATATTCAGAAAGGAAATAATATATATATGTATATGCGCTCATGAGTAAAACTTTACGTAGTTCAAAACAACCTATATTGGTTATATCTACTATTGAGAAATGTGGATGTAAGGAAAAGTATGAGACTTTTGATGACGTTTGCTGCAAGAAGCATCACTCAAATCCTGGGGAAAACCAAAATTAACTAATTAAATGAGGAAAAATGTTTTAAGTGCGAGTTTCTATCCAGCAAAAATATGCAAAGTTAGTGCTGTTATTTCTACACAGATTTAAAACTATGCAATACCGTTAAAACTAAAAGTGTGTTATTAAAATTAACTGACAGCTTATTGCACAATTACATTAGTTTTGATCAAATATATGAATGGAACAATTTGTGCAAAGTTAAACATTTCACATTTACCCATTACCTTTAGAACAGTGCATATAAAGCTGCATGCAACCACAATATTTGCAGCTACAAAATGGCAAATGCTAATGTATCTGGGACTTATAAGGCCATTTTATAATAAGACAAATTCCTGGCAAGTGACATTGTGTCATACTGAAGTCACTCTTGCATGAGTAGTGTCTTACAAAGCATGCACATGTTTGACCATTAACAAGTAGTAAATTTGAGTATGGTGTACAGTTAGCCAATAGTGTGTAATTCTCATGCTGTGATACAAATTTAAGTGATGGAAATTATGCATAAGCTCCCAAAAGACAATGTGGCCCCACCATGCATTTTGCATGAGGAGTTGTTTACCCTGTCAGACAACAAAAATTTTTACCATCAGTTATGTTATAACATAGAGCACCATTGATCATTAGTAGTAAATTATAATGGCTCTTGAACAAGTTGTAGAATGGAATACTAAGTGACGGATACAGTTATAGCAAGGTTAGCACCTGTGCATTCCTGGAGGTATATTTTATGTAGTCAGGCCTTGTTAACTGCTTAATTCCACTCCAGTTTTTATAGAGAACACCCTGGGGGTAGTCAAGGAGTTTCCCACATCTTTTCCCTTACCATCAGCCATCAAGAGGACTTTTGGCTGGACATTTATTTTGAGTGCCACTGTGACGCACAGACACTATACACTTACAGACATCTATACCTTCTCTGGGATTTGAACCTAGATCCATTGGTAGAGCTGTCAGCATCAGTAACCACTATAACATCTGGGGGGCAACATGAACTGACATTAATTCATTTAATTCATCATCATCACTAATTGTACATTGGATTCCAGATGGTGTGTAAAACAGCACTCAAATTCACTAATGGGATTCAAAGAAACAGGCCAATGTTATTCTATTTTAATTGCAGGACAGGTTTTCTTTTAGATCTCAAATGCTTCTTCTATTCCAGATATAAATGTTACTTTGTGTGATACATGTAAAGCTTCTGCCTATTTGTTTAATATTGTCAGCACATATTTGTGGTGGACTAACAGATATATGGTATGACTTGCAACTTTATGTTGGGGGTACTTGATCGGTGTTGATGATAGAATGCCTCAAACCTCACAGGTATATTACATTTGACAGTCTGTAGCTGCATATATTAAGGGTAACACTCTGTATGCTCTGTTAAAGGGGTTTGTATTCAATCACAAGATGTATACTATGCACCTGCTGTTTTGTTCACATGTTTGTTTACCCTTGAAAGTTTCGGCAACTATCATTGAGAAGTATGATGGCTTTCCTTGTTCTTAGCTGTGTTCTTTTTATTATTATTATTAATATTTTGAGCCAATTTCTTTTGAAAAGTTCTCGGCAAATCTTGCTATATCAACTCTCTCTTTTTTGTAATAAACCATTGACTTAATTTTCTAGTTTCTAGCAGAGTCTGTCTTGATGTATGTAACTCTTTACATGTTCAACATGATCATATTACAGTTATATATTTATTCTAACACATTTGCACATTTCACAGCTCCAACTTGGACTAGCTGTTTTAAGGGATCTATTGTATGTATAGGTAACATATCCAGATTGTTGGACCGATACCTTTGTCAGTGCCAGGTATTCACTAGGCTTGTCTGAGCCTATAACTATTCAGAGTAGTTGCAAAAGTGCTTTTCTTCTTTCTCTCTCTTTTTCTGTTTGCGGAGAGGCATGACTAATGCATAGGTAAATTGATGCTGAAATAATTCGATTGATTTTTGTTTTCTGCTTTTCTTTAACCCTTAGCCTGTCGAGTGATTTTCTACAAATACCTTTAAAAATGTCACTAATTTTGGACAGAGCTTCCCTTAAAATGTTGGGAAAATAACCCTAAACCTCTGAAAAATGCCGGCTATTGCTATTGTTAGTTCTTTCCCCTCCCAGAATACGTGATCAAGGGTTCCGACTGTAAGTGAGATGGATTATTACCATAAATATTAGTACCCCCTAAATAAGAGCTGTCAAGAAAGTTGCAAAAGACTATTTTTCCATGATGACCATCCGAATGCTGCAGGTTTTACACATGCGAATACTATCTTAAAAGTTTTCTTTCCTAAAAGAGTCTTATTTTGAAACAACTTGGTTTTAAAATTTACGGGCTCTTTTTTTAATTATTATTCATGTTTAATCTAAATTACCTAAATCTCTGGGTCATTGACTATCATATGAATTTCAATGCAGATTGGTTAAACTGCTATTAATAAAATCCATATTAAAAATATCTGGTGCAATTTCATTCTTCTGTGAGATTCCTGAAACATTTGAAAAGCAATATTTATATTTTCAATTGCATTTGATATTTTCTGATTTTCTATGTTTTTTGTCATAAATTTAAAAAATCTTTAAATCTTTCAACACTTTTTTCTGTATTCTTCATTACATGCAGATAATATTTTTTTAATAATTTCTTTTATTTATAGATAGATATTTAGCATAATATTTGTATAATTATTCTGAAAAAATCTGTTTTATTATTTCTGCCAAATTTAATCAATTTAACTTGATGTGACTTTTAAACTTGCTCTTTAAATAAACACTAGTTAAATATTAACGAGATTTAAAAATTTTAACTTTTCAGGCATATTTAATGCTGAAATTTACTTAGTTTTTAAAACGGATGTTATTTTCTGGAAAGATTTTATTTTTTGAATGAACAATATACTCTTAAAAATGTATACAAATATGCTTTTTTAAGTAAAGTTAAATAATCAGCGAGATAAAATTTGGTAACTGAATATCTTAATTTCAAGGGCGAAAAAAAGATTTTTATTATTATACGTAGATAACTGTTTTGAAAAAGGATGGGTTTAAATGTGACTTATTTTTCATCTGATTTATGAAAACAAAAAATTAAGTGATTTCAGGATACAGCATAAAAATTTTTTTAAATATCTTCTTGATCTCAAAGGAATTAAACTTGCCCTTGGTATAAATAAATAATAATACAGTCAAAAGTCGTTAATTCGGACACCCATAATCCGGAATGATCTATAATCCAGACTTCAAAGCTACAAACTTTCTGCGCATGCGTTTCTGCGCGCACTCGTAAACAGGCGTTTACGTTTACGTTAAGACTTTTACGGCTGCGAATATGTTTGTGCGCATGCGCGTTTAATGTGTAACGGATGGTATAATGTTGCAGATTGCGTTGTTCCGTTATCTTCGAATTGGATCCAGCTTATTATTTTTTGCAGACTGTTAGAGCAATTTCATAAAAGTAAGCTTGAACTTTTGATTATGTCAAATAGAATTTCCGATATATATTTACTAATATGTAATTTGTATCTACAAAGCCAAAGTATGTTTCGAAATCCGAAATCTGTTTATCAATTTCACGCCGCGGATTGGAAGTTGATCTGTCAGCACTATCCTTATCTTCAGGGCAGATGTTTTTATTTTATTTGGCTTATAATTCCTTACTAAGTGTAGTATTTCATCACGATGTACTATGTCTTTGATATGATTTAAATGAAGTTCCTCGTCATTATAATTCGCTTACGATAGTGAAGAAAGTGACCCAGAGTTTATTGAAAATGAAAACATTTCGATTGACAAATTAGTCAGTATTCTCGACACAGCAATTATAGGACTTGGAACAGCGGAACTTTGTAACTAAACAAGAAATTATATCTGTTTAATAGAATTAAAGAGAAAGTATTATCACATAAAACGAAGCAACATACATTGAAAGAAATGTTTAATAGATTAAACAAATAAATATTAAGCTTTTTCTTTTTGTAAATTTTGATACCCTTTAGATCATAATTGTTCTTATTTCATAAATTACAGTTTCATATTTTTAATTTGTAATTTCTGCATGCCATCTTACCAGATTTAAACTGATGATCTATAATCCGGAAAAATCGATAATCCGGAATCGCCGAAGTCCCGACGAGTCCGGATTAACGACTTTTGACTGTAATGCCTTTGTTTCCGCTTTTTCTTCAATAATTTCGAGATTTTTTAATACAAACATTACGGTATTACCTTTTAAACACCTGATCTGTTTTTAAAAGCAATAAACAAAACATTTAGGAGTTATTTTAGGACTGAACCGTTGATAATATCAATTTAAAATTTACATTTCACTTTTTTTAAATACACTATTCTATTCTGAAAGGGAATTTTAACCCGAAACAGTCTTTATGAATTTTCAGTTGATTCTTGCCTTCCTGTCCTTGAAACACTAGTACACTTTGTCTGAAATAGGATTAAAAAACATTACCCTATAACAAAGCTGAAAAGGAAAAATGA